CAAAAGTGGACAAAACTTGAGACTTTAAAACATGGCTTTAAATCTTTTGCATCTCAGAATCAGAATAATTTTTATTGCCACGTAAGTAACAGGAGGTCACAGACTTGGAAATTGCTTTGGCTTGGTGCAACAGTCAGAGAGACAGAATAAAAAACACTTCTAAGGAATACATTTAGAAGATTTACAAGATCTATGCTCTTAGTAAAAACATCTGTACACAAACCTCAGAGATCAGCGAGTACAGTCTCTCTGGTCTCTCTCTCAGGCCAAAATGCAGCATGTGATATGTTCCTTACAAACGCTGACTCCCTCTGTGTGTGTGTGTGTGTGTGTGTGTGTGTGTGTCTCTCTCTCTCTCTCTCTCTCTATCTTTTTGTGTGTCTCTCTCTCTTCCTCTCTGAGTGATTCTCCCTACCTCTGTCTCTCCTTCTCTCTGTCTCTCTTTCTTTCTCAGGAGGCAGTGGAGCGTGTGGGACCCCCGGCGAGGGATTTGAGGGGACAGTGAACAGTTTCCTGAGTCAGCATCAGGCTCAGCTCGTCATGCAGCAGCAGCAGCAGCAGCAGTCACAGTTCCAACAGCTGCACCAGCTGCAACAGCTGCAGCAGCTGCACCAGTACCAGCAACAGCAACTCTTGCAGCAGCTACAGCAGCAACAGGTCTGTGAACACCATGTGTACAAGGTCATGAAAAGAGACCAGATGAGCTCTTTAGTGCTGCTTCCACCAGCCTTATGCGGCCCTATCTCTGGTTTCTCTCTGATCTCTCTCTAGTCCCTCTCTGGTCTCTCTGGTCTCTCTGGTCTCCCTGGTCTCCGTCTCTGGCCTCTCTCTCTGGTCACTCTGGTCTCCCTGGCCTCCCTTTCTGGCCTCTCTCTCTGGTCACTTTCTGGTCTCCCTGGTCTCCCTTTCTGGTCTCTCTCTCTGGTCACTCTCTGGTCTCCCTCTGGTCTCTGCTTCGTGTAATGGAGTCTAGTAACAGTACAGTACATATAATAACACGTGAGAGGAGAAAAATCCTGCGACAGATCAATGCTCTGGACGATGTGGCAGAACGTCTTTAAAAGTAATTTCTCTTTTTCGACCCTTCTGTCGTTTTGTTATTAAATCCAGCCTTCATCTCAGCGTTGTATTGATCATGATACAATGACAAATTATTTAATACATCAGCCTTTTTTCTCTCTCTGGCCTCTCTCTCTGTTCTCTTTCCGGTCTCTTTCTGGTCTCTCACTCTGGCCTCTCTATCTGGTCTCTCCCTTATCTCTCTCTCTGGTCTCTCTCTCTGGTCTCTCTCCCTGATCTCTCTCTCTGGTCTCTCTCCCTGATCTCTCTCTCTGATCTCTCTCTCTGGTCTCTTTCCGGCCTCTCTCTGGTTCCTTACGCCTCTTTCCCTGGTCTCTCACTCTGGCCTCTCTATCTGGTCTCTCCCTGATCTCTCTCTCTGGTCTCTCTCCGGTCTCTCTCTGGTTTCTCACACCTGACATAGCTCTCTGGCCTCTTTTCCCTGGCCTCTCTTCCCTGGTCTTGCCTGGTAGATAGAGAGATACTTTATTGATCGCTGTAGGATAAATATCCATCCATCCATCCATTTTCTACCCTTTAATCCATTTCTGGGTCAGGGGGGTGGCAGTCAGAGATGCCACCCAAGTCTCATAGCACCAGCCCCTCACTGACCCTCTGCAGGTGGTGAGTCCACAGGAGGATGGCTGCTCTCTGAGTGTGAGCATAGCCTTGATCTTTCAGTGGGGGCTTTGGGCAAAGTGGGGTTAAGTGTCTTGCCCAAGGACACAACGACAGCAGTCATCAGTGGGAGTCGGTGGAGAAGGTGTGGAGGTGGGAATTGAACCCACAACCTTCTGGCCTTAAGGCCAATGCTCTACCAACTGAGCTACTGTCGCCCCTGTAGGATAAATAATACAAACAAATATAAGCATAATTCTAGAAGTTACAAATGATAAGATTCCTAGAAAAAAAACCTTGTGACGTTACTATGCAGCTGGTGTCGTAGGAATCATTAGTCAGAGCTGCAGATGAATGAGGTGTGGTTAACTGTGGTCTGACTCTGAGCTCGTTAGAATCAGGAGGATTGGGAAATAATGAGTGCGAAAGGTCAAGTTCTGTGTCTCAGAGACAGGAGCCGAGGGCGAGCGAGACCCGGGTCTTTTGTGGCACCGCGTTTCTCATTCCGGATTCTAATTACTGTGTTTCAAATTATTTCACAGAGAGAACTATGAAACCACTGACGGTTGGGAGGAGAGAGACCGATATTATACAAAACTGATCTTTAAGTGATTTAAAAACGTAAGATTTATACTGTTTAGAGAAAACAGAGCGAGACCAGAGAGAGAGGAGAGAGACTAGAGACCAGAGTGAGACCAGAGAGGAGAGAGACTAGAGAGACCAGGGAGAGAGGAGAAAGACTAGAGACACCAGAGAGAGAGAGGAGAGAGAGGGGAGAGAGAGGGGAGAGGGGACAATGTAGAGAGAAGAAAGAGAGACCAAAGAGAGAGGAGAGAGATTACAGAGACCAGAAAGAGAGAAGAGAGACACCAGAGAGAAACCAGAAAGAGAAAGAAGGACCTGACCATATAGTACTTACAAGACCATGTGTCTCCTTCCAAACCTGAACAGTGTGAGCCTCTTACTCACTCTCCTCCGGAATGTGAGAAAAGAAGATTAATTTGATGCACAAATATTATTTCCCAGATGCAGAAACGTTTCCCGGTAACTGGCATCAAACCAAAGCATTGTGGGGATAGTAAAGCTGCTTCTCCTGTAGACATTCAGACATTAACCAGCCCTCAGATGGTTCTCCTCAGATGGTTCTTCTGTGAGATTCAGATAAAGTATGGTTTTATCGTTCTTCAAGTTTGAAGTATCTGTACTGAGACACAGAAGCTGGTATCAGAGCGTACGTCTGTATCCCAACGTTCCAAAGACTCTATGGTTTCACATTGTGGTGGAGGGCAGAAAAAAAGTAATTCTCATTCTAGTCTCTCGCTGGTCTCTCGCTGGTGTCTCTCTCTGGTCTCTCTCTAGTCTCTTTCTGTTCTCTTTCTGGTCTCTCTCTGCTCTCTCTCTAGTGTCTTTCTAGTCTCTTTATGTTCTCTTTCTGGTCTCTCTCGAGTCTCTCTCGATTCCCTCTCGCTGGTCTCTCTTTCTGGTCTCTCTAGTTACTCTCTTTCTGGTCTCTCTAGTCACTGTCTTTCTGGTCTCTCTCTGGTCTCTCTCTAGTCAGTCTTTTGGTCTCTCTCTGGTCTCTCTCTAGTCTCTTTCTGTTCTCTTTCTGGTCTCTCTCTAGTCTCTCTCTGCTCTCTCGGCTCTCTCTCGTCCAGTCTATCTCTAGTCTCTAGTCCCTCTCTCTCTCTGGTCTCTCTCTAGTCTCTCTCTGGTCTCTCTCCTTCCCATAGACCTGTATTGTCTCCTCCTGAGATACTGAAAGACACATCTACAACATCAACACAAATGGATCTCATGTGAACTGCACATAACACAACATACAGCAGACACTTTTCATTCTGAATTCAAATCAGATTCAGTTTCTGTGCGACACCAGCTCTGCTCTCTCTCTGGACGACCACATGACTCATTGCGACCCTCTCCCTCAGAAGTCCAGCCGGTCTCACACTGTTCCTCCACGAAGGCTTTTGTGTCTTTGTTTTGGCAGCAGGAGATGCTATTGTCGCCTCTGCTTATTGAGAAAATGAGAAATGTCAGCAGCGGAGGGAAGACATTGTTCCGCAGAGCTGCAGTGGGCGGTGTGTTTTAATAGGAACAGTGGAGTTGTTCTGCAGACGAATCAATCCAACACACTCCGATAGAGACTGAAAGAACTGATCCCGGTTTGTGATTCAAGTCTGAGGCTGTGTTTCCTTTTATACGAGACAAAGGGAGCTCCCCACGGTGTAACATTCTCACAATATATTTATGGAACTAAAAGGACTGCTTCTATAGAGAAAGAGAGAGAGAGACCAGAGAGAAAGACCTGAGAGAGACTAGAGAGAGGGACCAGAGAAAGAAACCAGAAAGAGAGACCAGAGATCAGAGAGAGACAACTCCTATAAATGCATATAGCAAAGTGAAAACTAGAATATTGATAAAAATGTCATTGATCTCTGCATTTCAACTTAAAATCAGAGCTTGTATACAGATTCTGGTGTCTCTCTGATATCGCTCTGGTCTCTTGTCTCGCTCTGTTCTCTCTCTTAGGTCTCTCTCTGGTCTCTCACTGATCTCTTCTCTCTCTCTCAGGTCTCTCTCTGGTTGCTCTACGCTCTAGTTATCAAGGATCTTTAGTTTTGTTTCTTCTCTTTGGACTATTTTGACATCCTAGGGTAAAGCTAGTTAGCCTCATGCTAACAGACCTTTCTCTGTGTTCTCCTCAGACTCTGCAAAGTGCCTCAGCCTCTCTACAGGTCACCCCCAACAGCACCATCCACAGCCTGGTCCCCCCCACACACCCCCGCCTGGCCGATCTGTGGGGGGCCGCCCAGGTCGAGGCGCACCAGGTGAGGAACCAGCTGTTTAACCAGGTTCAAGTTCACTGTAATCATACCAACACGAGGTGAGAAGACTGTGTTGTGTTATGGTACATTGGCAACAGTGTGCTGGCTCAACGACAGTTCTTGAAATAATACTAAATACTGTACTATAGTATTTAAGTACAGAGAGAGACCAGAGAGACCAGAGACATGAGAGAGACCGTAGTGAGACCAGAGAGGGACTAGATATGGACCAGAGAGAGACCAGAGAGGGACTAGAGAGGGACCAGAGAGAGACCAGAGAGGGAGAGAGACCAGAGAGAAAGAGACATGATAGAGACCAGCGAGAGACCGGAGAGAGACCAGAGAGGGACTAGAGAGGGACCAGAGAGAGACAAGAGGAAAGACCAGAGGAGAGACCAGAGGAGAGACCAGAGGAGAGACCAGAGGAGAGACCAGAGGAGAGGGACCAGAGAGGGACTAGAGAGGGACCAGAGAGACAAGAGGAAAGACCAGAGGAAAGACCAGAGGAGAGACCAGAGGAGAGACCAGAGGAGAGACCAGAGGAGAGACCAGAGGAGAGGGACCAGAGAGGGACTAGAGAGGGACCAGAGAGACGAGAGGAAAGACCAGAGGAAAGACCAGAGGAGAGACCAGAGGAGAGACCAGAGGAGAGACCAGAGGAGAGACCAGAGGAGAGACCAGAGGAGAGACCAGAGGAGAGACCAGAGGAGAGACCAGAGGAGAGGGACCAGAGAAGCACCAGAGAAATACTGTCTCTAGTTTCCACATGTACTGTATGTAGTTCTGGCCTCTGTCACATCTTTAGAGCAGCTTTTTCAGACAGAAAGTGAATAACCACCCTCACTCTGCTCTCAGGACTCAAAGAGTGACTCCCAGGGCTCTAGCTCATACTAAAGAAACTATTTTCTCACAAGACAGAATGATATGTGGTTTATTTTCAAATCTCTCTTTGGGAAAAGCAGTGTGTGTGTGGGTATGAATGAAGTGTATGAATTCCTGATAATAATTTTGGAACCTCAGCTTTAAGTACGATTGAAGGTAAGAGCTCTATTACTGTAATTTTACATTCCTTCCTCAGCAATTTCTCCCTGGAGAATCGGCCAGAGAGAGAGAGACCAGAGAGAGAGACCAGAGAGAGAGACCAGAGAGAGAGACCAGAGAGAGAGAGAGACTAGAGAGAGAGAGAGACCAGAGAGAGAGACCAGAGAGAGAGACCAGAGAGAGAGAGAGACTAGAGAGAGAGAGAGACCAGAGAGAGAGACCAGAGAGAGAGACCAGAGAGAGACCAGAGAGAGAGACCAGAGAGAGACCAGAGAGAGAGACCAGAGAGAGAGACCAGAGAGAGAGAGAGACCAGAGAGAGAGACCAGAGAGAGAGACCAGAGAGAGAGACCAGAGAGAGAGAGAGACTAGAGAGAGAGAGAGAGACCAGAGAGAGAGACCAGAGAGAGAGAGAGACTAGAGAGAGAGAGAGACCAGAGAGAGAGACCAGAGAGAGAGACCAGAGAGAGACCAGAGAGAGAGACCAGAGAGAGACCAGAGAGAGAGACCAGAGAGAGAGACCAGAGAGAGAGAGAGACCAGAGAGAGAGAGAGACCAGAGAGAGAGACCAGAGAGAGAGACCAGAGAGAGAGACCAGAGAGAGACCAGAGAGAGACCAGAGAGAGAGACCAGAGAGAGAGACCAGAGAGAGAGACCAGAGAGAGAGACCAGAGAGAGAGACCAGAGAGAGAGAGACCAGAGAGAGAGAGACCAGAGAGAGAGACCAGAGAGAGAGACCAGAGAGAGAGACCAGAGAGAGACCAGAGAGAGACCAGAGAGAGAGACCAGAGAGAGAGACCAGAGAGAGAGACCAGAGAGAGAGACCAGAGAGAGACCAGAGAGAGAGAGACCAGAGAGAGAGAGACCAGAGAGAGAGACCAGAGAGAGAGACCAGAGAGAGAGACCAGAGAGAGACCAGAGAGAGACCAGAGAGAGACCAGAGAGAGACCAGAGAGAGACCAGCGAGAGACCAGCGAGAGACCAGAGAGAGACCAGAGAGACCAGAGAGAGAGACCAGAGAGAGACCAGAGAGAGAGAGACCAGAGAGAGACCAGAGAGAGACCAGAGAGAGACCAGAGAGAGACCAGAGAGAGACCAGAGAGAGACCAGAGAGAGACCAGAGAGAGACCAGAGAGAGACCAGAGAGAGACCAGAGAGAGACCAGAAAGAGACCAGAGAGAGACCAGAGAGAGAGAGACCAGAGAGAGACCAGAGAGAGACCAGAGAGAAACCAGAGAGAGACCAGCGAGAGACCAGAGAGAGACCAGAGAGAGACCAGAAAGAGACCAGAGAGAGAGACCAGAGAGAGACCAGAGAGAGACCAGAGAGAGACCAGAGAGAGACCAGAGAGAGACCAGCGAGAGACCAGCGAGAGACCAGAGAGAGACCAGAGAGACCAGAGAGAGAGACCAGAGAGAGAGAGACCAGAGAGAGACCAGAGAGAGACCAGAGAGAGACCAGAGAGAGACCAGAGAGAGACCAGAGAGAGACCAGAGAGAGACCAGAGAGAGACCAGAGAGAGACCAGAGAGAGACCAGAAAGAGACCAGAGAGAGACCAGAGAGAGAGAGACCAGAGAGAGACCAGAGAGAGACCAGAGAGAGACCAGAGAGAGACCAGCGAGAGACCAGAGAGAGACCAGAGAGAGACCAGAAAGAGACCAGAGAGAGAGACCAGAGAGAGACCAGAGAGAGACCAGAGAGAGACCAGAGAGAGACCAGAGAGAGACCAGAGAGAGACCAGAGAGAGACCAGAGAGAGACCAGAGAGAGACCAGCGAGAGACCAGAGAGACCAGCGAGAGACCAGCGAGAGACCAGCGAGAGACCAGCGAGAGACCAGCGAGAGACCAGAGAGAGACCAGAGAGAGACCAGAGAGAGACCAGAGAGAGACCAGAGAGAGACATAGTTAGAAACAGAGAGAGACCAGAGAGAGACCAGAGAGAGACATAGTTAGAAACAGAGAGAGACTTTGGTGTAGCAGTCCCTCCTCACCTGGTCCTCACCTGGTCCTTCCCTTGTCCTCCCCTGGTGTCTGTGGTTGCAGTGTGCATGAGTACCGGTTGTCCAGCTGGTTGGGGCAGCAGGAGGACATCCACCGCATCGTCCTGTACCAGAGCGACCCGAGCCTCAGCCCCTGGACCCAGCGCTGCATCCGCCAAGCAGACTGCATCCTCATCGTGGGCCTGGGGGAGCAGGAGCCCGTGGCAGGGGAGGTCAGTGCTGCTCTCTCTCTGGTCTCTCTCTCTGGTCTCTCTCTGGTCTCTCTCTGGTCTCTCTCTGGTCTCTCTCTCTGGTCTCTCTCTGGTCTCTCTCTGGTCTCTCTCTGGTCTCTCTCTGGTCTCTCTCTCTGGTCTCTCTCTGGTCTATCTCTGGTCTCTCTCTGGTCTCTCTCTGGTCTTTCTCTGGTCTATCTCTGGTCTCTCTCTCTGGTCTCTCTCTTTAGTCTCTCTCTGGTCTCTCTCTGGTCTCTCTCTGGTCTCTCTGGTGTCTCTCTCTGGTCTCTCTTTCTGAACTCTCTCTCTGGTCTCTCTCTGGTCTCTCTCGATGGTCTCTCTCTGGTCTCTCTCTCTGGTCTCTCTCTCTGGTCTCTCTTTAGTCTCTCTCTGGTCTCTCTTTCTGAACTCTCTCTCTGGTCTCTCTCTCTGGTCTCTCTCTGGTCTCTCTCTGGTCTCTCTCTGGTCTCTCTCTCTGGTCTCTCTCTGGTCTATCTCTGGTCTCTCTCTCTGGTCTCTCTCTGGTCTCTCTCTGGTCTCTCTCTGGTCTGTCTCTGGTCTCTCTCTGGTCTCTCTCTGGTCTCTCTCTGGTCTCTCTCTGGTCTATCTCTGGTCTCTCTCTCTGGTCTCTCTCTGGTCTCTCTCTGGTCTCTCTCTGGTCTATCTCTGGTCTCTCTCTCTGGTCTCTCTCTGGTCTCTCTCTGGTCTCTCTCTGGTCTATCTCTGGTCTCTCTCTGGTCTCTCTCTGGTCTATCTCTGGTCTCTCTCTGGTCTCTCTCTGGTCTATCTCTGGTCTCTCTCTCTGGTCTCTCTCTTTAGTCTCTCTCTGGTCTCTCTCTGGTCTCTCTCTGGTCTCTCTGGTGTCTCTCTCTGGTCTCTCTTTCTGAACTCTCTCTCTGGTCTCTCTCGATGGTCTCTCTCTGGTCTCTCTCTCTGGTCTCTCTCTCTGGTCTCTCTTTAGTCTCTCTCTGGTCTCTCTTTCTGGTCTCTCTCTCTGGTCTCTCTCTGGTCTCTCTGGTCTATCTCTGGTCTCTTTCTGGTCTCTCTCTCTGGTCTCTCTCTGGTCTCTCTCTGGTCTATCTCTGGTCTCTCTCTGGTCTCTCTCTGGTCTCTCTCTGGTCTATCTCTGGTCTCTTTCTGGTCTCTCTCTGGTCTATCTCTGGTCTCTCTCTGGTCTCTCTCTGGTCTTTCTCTGGTCTATCTCTGGTCTCTCTCTCTGGTCTCTCTCTTTAGTCTCTCTCTGGTCTCTCTCTGGTCTCTCTCTGGTCTCTCTGGTGTCTCTCTCTGGTCTCTCTTTCTGAACTCTCTCTCTGGTCTCTCTCGATGGTCTCTCTCTGGTCTCTCTCTCTGGTCTCTCTCTCTGGTCTCTCTTTAGTCTCTCTCTGGTCTCTCTTTCTGAACTCTCTCTCTGGTCCCTCTCTCTGGTCTCTCTCTCTGGTCTCTCTCTCTGGTCTCTCTTTAGTCTCTCTCTGGTCTCTCTGGTGTCTCTCTCTGGTCTCTCTTTCTGAACTCTCTCTCTGGTCTCTCTCTGGTCTCTCTCTGGTCTCTCTCTCTGGTCTCTCTCTCTGGTCTCTCTCTCTGGTCTCTCTCTGGTCTCTCCCCCCTCCCCCCTCTCTCACACAGCCCTGTGTTCTTGCAGTTAGAGCGCCTCCTAGAGGGCAGTGCAGTGCGTTCGCAGAAGCAGCTGGTGCTGCTGCACAGAGAGGATGGACCTCCTCCTAAGGCCACAGCTGATTGGCTGAACATGAGGAGCTGGATCTGCAAACACCACCATCTGTCCTGCCCCCGCCGGGTCTTCTCCCGCCGCAGTCTGCCCAAACTGGTCAGTCCCAACGGGTTTCACTGTCACTCTCCCGCCGCAGTCTGCTCAAACTGGTCAGTCCCAACGGGTTTCACTGTCACGCTCCCGCCACAGTCTGCTCAAACTGGTCAGTCCCAACGGGTTTCACTGTCACGCTCCCGCCACAGTCTGCCCAAACTGGTCAGTCCCAACGGGTTTCACTGTCACTCTCCCGCCGCAGTCTGCTCAAACTGGTCAGTCCCAACGGGTTTCACTGTCACGCTCCCGCCACAGTCCGCCCAAACTGGTCAGTCCCAACGGGTTTCACTGTCACTCTCCCGCCACAGTCTGCTCAAACTGGTCAGTCCCAACGGGTTTCACTGTCACTCTCCCGCCACAGTCTGCTCAAACTGGTCAGTCCCAACGGGTTTCACTGTCACTCTCCCGCCACAGTCTGCCCAAACTGGTCAGTCCCAACGGGTTTCACTGTCACTCTCCCGCCGCAGTCTGCTCAAACTGGTCAGTCCCAACGGGTTTCACTGTCACTCTCCCGCCGCAGTCTGCTCAAACTGGTCAGTCCCAACGGGTTTCACTGTCACTCTCCCGCCGCAGTCTGCTCAAACTGGTCAGTCCCAACGGGTTTCACTGTCACTCTCCCGCCACAGTCTGCTCAAACTGGTCAGTCCCAACGGGTTTCACTGTCACTCTCCCGCCGCAGTCTGCTCAAACTGGTCAGTCCCAACGGGTTTCACTGTCACTCTCCCGCCGCAGTCTGCTCAAACTGGTCAGTCCCAACGGGTTTCACTGTCACTCTCCCGCCGCAGTCTGCTCAAACTGGTCAGTCCCAACGGGTTTCACTGTCACTCTCCCGCCGCAGTCTGCTCAAACTGGTCAGTCCCAACGGGTTTCACTGTCACTCTCCCGCCGCAGTCTGCTCAAACTGGTCAGTCCCAACGGGTTTCACTGTCACTCTCCCGCCGCAGTCTGCTCAAACTGGTCAGTCCCAACGGGTTTCACTGTCACTCTCCCGCCGCAGTCTGCTCAAACTGGTCAGTCCCAACGGGTTTCACTGTCACTCTCCCGCCACAGTCTGCTCAAACTGGTCAGTCCCAACGGGTTTCACTGTCACTCTCCCGCCGCAGTCTGCTCAAACTGGTCAGTCCCAACGGGTTTCACTGTCACTCTCCCGCCACAGTCTGCTCAAACTGGTCAGTCCCAACGGGTTTCACTGTCACTCTCCCGCCACAGTCCGCCCAAACTGGTCAGTCCCAACGGGTTTCACTGTCACTCTCCCGCCGCAGTCTGCTCAAACTGGTCAGTCCCAACGGGTTTCACTGTCACTCTCCCGCCGCAGTCTGCTCAAACTGGTCAGTCCCAACGGGTTTCACTGTCACTCTCCCGCCGCAGTCTGCTCAAACTGGTCAGTCCCAACGGGTTTCACTGTCACTCTCCCGCCGCAGTCCGCCCAAACTGGTCAGTCCCAACGGGTTTCACTGTCACTCTCCCGCCACAGTCTGCTCAAACTGGTCAGTCCCAACGGGTTTCACTGTCACTCTCCCGCCGCAGTCTGCTCAAACTGGTCAGTCCCAACGGGTTTCACTGTCACTCTCCCGCCGCAGTCCGCCCAAACTGGTCAGTCCCAACGGGTTTCACTGTCACTCTCCCGCCGCAGTCTGCTCAAACTGGTCAGTCCCAACGGGTTTCACTGTCACTCTCCCGCCGCAGTCTGCTCAAACTGGTCAGTCCCAACGGGTTTCACTGTCACTCTCCCGCCGCAGTCTGCTCAAAC